AGGGGGGGGGGGGGGGAGATTGGTCGATACTTTCGAAGCTTTTTGCGCCGCAACTTTTGTTAATTTGCAGTACAAGCAGACTGCGGGCCGCCCCGCTGGTTCTCGTTATCCATTACACACCACCACGATTACAGAAAGTTTCGGCTGTGAGTGGAGAGCGGAAGAAAATTCCTGCGAGTTCGCTCTTTTTAGTTCTTCCCACTCCCGCTCCCCTCCCCCTTGGTTTTGAGTGTTGGTTGTGGAGGAAAAAATTGAACAGGGGGATCGAACGGTGATAATAGGTGTTATTTGTAACAGATTAACAAATTTGTTATTTAAATAAATACGTGAATAAAGAAATTTTAAAAAATTTCATTACACTAGTCATTTTAAGACTATTTAAAACATTTAAAGGAATTTTTTTTGTAAACAATATGCTTGCTCACGATAAACAACGTGGTCGCAGTAATACCGTTATTCTAATGCTTGGATGTCATTTAAAGAATGTGAACCGTGGCAATCGTGAATTTATCGTGGTACAACTGCAACACGCGTCTTTATACCTATCTAATCCTTTTTTCTGTTCGTTGTTTCAGCGTCGAAGACCAATCTGGTCGTGGACATCGAGCCGAAGGGACAGGTCGCGGTGCGTCTCGGCGAGAGTCTGCAGATCATGTGCAGAGTCGGCAGACCTTTGAAGGTCTGCCGTGTCGAGATACCAGGCGAGGCAGGCGGTATGGTATTGTCCAAGGGTCAGCCGGCGGAGGACGGGATCGAGTACTATGGGGAGGGCACCGAGGCGGGCCAGTGCGGGGTCCATATCGCTAAAATCAAGGAGAGCCACGACGGGGTCTTCAAGTGCACGCTAACGGCCACCGACGTACGACAGGAGGCCCAGGCATCCGTGATGATTATTGTTGCCAGTAAGCATAGACTTAACTACTACAATCAGAATTATATGCTTTTTCCCAGCGTGATTGAAATTGAAATCGAGTGAAATACAAGGGTCACCATATATTGTTATTTCATTGAAAAATATACGAATGGTGATCTAACTCATGGAAACATCAATTTTATAGTATCAGCCCAATGGAAGATAATACCGTATTTTATTCGTTTAGATCCTATTGCAGGGGGCAACTTGCCGCCCCCCCCCCCCCCCCCGGGCGGAAGAAAGTGACTTTTGAAAAGATGCATTGATCTTGAAATAAACTTAAGGTCACCTTGATATTTCAACAAAAATATAATATAAAAAAAATTTAAACGAGTTATTTTAAATAGTAGTTCTTATTTACTCACCCTGTATTATCGTGTTGAAACTAGAGGATTTACGTAAAACATAACTGATTGCTGCGCGTCTAGCGTGTATTCTCTAAATTAATAAAAGAATGGCGGGAAGGTTCATAAATTCTCGTGTCGGTGGAAAAATATCCTACCGTAAAGGGAGAAATATTACGGGATGGGCCACGTCGGAGAATTCGAGAACTAATTAATCTTCATTAAGAGAATTGCTTACGGGAGAGCGAAATAAGAGAGCGCGAAAGGATATTACTGTTTCGAATAAAGTCGATAGATATGAATAACCGAATCTAAATGAAAATTTGCACATTCGATCCGCGCAGTAAAATTAATGGACAGAACAACATGGCGAACAAACACAATTCCATCGACCCTTCTAATCAAAATTCCAACAACGTTATCCTCTTCTCCGATCAATGGATTTTGGGGCGTCCCAACGATCGTTCAACGGTACGAATTAATAATATTCTATTCGATTTCTGCAGAACCACCGAACAATCCTGAACTTCAAACCAGTCCCGGAGCTTACGGCAGAAGCGTCTACAGAAAAGGAGAGAAACTGGAAGTGAGTTGCAGCGCCCCCTCCGGAAGACCAGCAGCCAACGTATCGTTATTCCTTGGTAATTATTTTTATTATTAATTCATTATTGTCACGTTACAGTCGAATATTCGGGGTTAACATGTATTATTCGCCTGTTCTTTCGATCCAGACGACGAACCAATCGGTTACGAGGAAAGACCAACGATCTACGACTCGAACGTGAACGAGAACTCGTTGGCAGTGCAAAACGCGTCGCGCAGCTTGGATTGGACCGACAATGGCAAAGTTCTTCGGTGCAGAGCCAACCATATCGCCCTCGACAAGCCTAAGGAAACCACTATGCAGATACAAGTACGCTGTAAGTAACAAGTACTGTCTATAAAATAACAAGCACAGTCTAAAAAATATCTTTTTTTAACCGATTAATTTTTATTTCGTACTCTTATGTCTCCACTGTAAGTACCCGCAAAGCTCATTTCGATCAGTTTGTTAGTTCAATAGTTATGATTTATTGAAAAAAGGGTGACTCTAAATTTCAAACAGCTGCAAAATAAAAAATTTTTTAAATTTTCAAAAGTCATTCGAGATAAGTTTACATATCGCTAAAGAATACATCATATCCAACTTTTATATAATAAGGATATAAAAAGTTAAGCACCAATGAAGTGCAGTTGCAGAAAAAATGTTAAAAAATTTCAAAAAGTTTAGTTAATCATTTTGGCCTGTGAATGGCTCAAATATTCAAGTTTAATATTCAAATTGAACCCTGAATGATTTCTTCCAGATCCGCCGCAGCCACAGCCAACCATCGAGCGATTCGGATACGTGATTGGACGTGAGGGTCACGTGAACGTAACCGTTTACGCGAACCCCAAGCCACATTTCTTATGGCGAGTGAACAACGAAAAGATCCTCGAGGGTCACCTGGACCAGAGCCACAGACTTCAAACCTCGACCGCCGTCGATTTGGTAAATTCATTAAACTTGTTCCTTTATGTTTTTATACTTTTTTACTACCGAACGAACTGGTATGCAAGCGCAGAACCACAGAGGACCATACGGTACGCAACACCATGAATTTAAGTGGAAAATATCGAAGAAGAAGAAGTTTCTCCTCGCAATATGTATGAAGCTTATCGCAAAGTTTCTCAACGTAAAAGGAACGTCTATCGTGAAACAAAATCTTCGCCTACTTGGAAAGTCTAATATCCATCGATGTGGTCCTGGTTCGATTCTGAGTAACGCGATTCAACGTGAACATTTATAATGGGAAAATTTTATTCATGGCCAAACGAATACAAACGAAACGTTCAACTTCGAGTGGGGTCTCGAGAAAGGCAATTGAAACAACGACCGATTTTCCATATTTCTTAACGAACTAGAAAAACCCGAATAGCGACGAAATTTTGCAGTATACTGAAATCAAAAGAAAAAAAAAACAAGAAGGGTTACAACGTTTGAAATATTGGGACGATTGCAACGCGCCAAATTCGACAAAGAGTTGGAGAATTGTGAAAAATATCCAGAGTAATGAAATCCAACGAATGTTACGTGTAGGTATTGAAAAATGTAAAATGGCGATGCGGCGTATGCAGATATAGAGGATGCTGTGAACGAATTACTTTCGTGAAAGTGCAAATTGAAGCAGACGAGAAAACTAAATCGGAACAAGAACGAAGGTATCGGGACAAAAGTTTCGTTCTCTAACGCACTTAACATTTTTTTTCAAGCATTGCGTGACTTGAAAGTTTCTCGTTAATCAAAGGACTTTAATGAAATTCCGCTGAATTCGGACGGTACAGATCGACGGAGGGCAATTACTCGAAATAATTCGACTGTCGGTGTCTTTGGCCGAGCCAGGCTTCTTTCATTCGTAAGAAGCACTGTAAGAATATACCAATGGTAGTCTAACTCATGAAAATATAATTTTTATAGTATCAGCCCATTGGAAGAGAATACAGTGTTTTATTCCTTTAATTTCTATATTTGCTAGAAGACTGAAACATATAAAAAAAATCATCGCAAAAAAAAGTCGAGTTGAAAATATATATTTATGATACAGACACTAATTCACCCCTTTTTTAATGATATGCAATACACAGAAACAATATTTTATTGAAGATCCTCAAAGTCCAAAGGCTATCACTAGCTACCTTGTAAAAGAAAAAACATTTTTTCATTGCTAAACGGTTCAGTAATTAAAGATTTTCTACCACAACAAAACGCAATTATGCTCGACGAAAGAGTAGCGTGTTACCCCGTTTGTGGCGATCATAGATTTATAAAGATAGACCGCGCGCCCGATACGAAAAGGTGTCTTCCCTTTCTTTTTACCCAAGTTGGATATTATACGAATAAAATTTAATTCGAATAATAAGTCATTCGAAGAAACCAGCGAATAAAAATTTATTCGAAGGAACCAGCGGATACAAGTTAGTGTTTAAATAAATAGAGGGAGGATGTAACGCGTCAAACATATAAATGTAAAGCTGAATATAAGTATTTGAATGAAGTGTGTGTAACCTGGTATTCCAGGGAAGAGGAGCGTGGAGCGTAATCCTCACTATCGACAGCATTCAGAAGTCCGACACAGAGAAGGAGTACATATTGGAAGCCCGCAATGACGAGGGAGCGTACGAGTACCGTATCGTTTTGTCGACTTCCACAGAACCCGCAGGTAAAACTATCGTGATGCTCACGTTTCAAACTTTCATCCCACTTACTCACATTCCGCACCAGTTGTAGCAAACAAAACACAGACCACACTTGCATCGATTTCGAATCGAAAGTATAAAAGGAAAACGAATATCATTTTCAAAAACAGTGCGAAGCAATATTTCCACTCATTATCTCCCGTGTACCTCATCTTTCTAGCTATGACTATGAAAATGAAAAAAAAATTTAAACATTTTACAATCAGTAAAATTCCTGAAAAATTATTAATATTGCCGGTCGGGGGTTGAAAATAGAAGAAAGCTCAGTATTCCCTTTTTATATTCACGCTTTGTCAGTTTTCTCACTAGATCGACCTTTAAATGTACTTATTATTATTATTGCTTACAAAAATTTAAGTACATAATGTAATATTAAATCATTATGAACCTTTTAGTATTTATAAAATGGAAGGGTTGCAACGAAACACGATTGAAAATCACTGGTAGCTGTCGATCAAGCTGTTAGTTCACGCACTTCGTTTTCGTCACTTCTCGTCTCATACCAATCGAGCATACTCACTCCCCGTCTATCGATCTACATCACGTTCGTTGTCACCTTCACGTACTGTCAGTCATCATTACACCTTCGGTCATCGCCGAAAATACGAATTAGAATATCTCTCTGTGTTTATGCTCTCTGTCTCTCTCTCTCTCCCCCTGTCTATATCTACCTCTATTCTGTATATACATATGTTACAGTGAAAGCGTTAATTCAGTAAATGTATACATTTCCTAAATAGTCAATGTACGCACTTACTAATCTGGTTAGTAAATGTATTCACAAGGAACGAAATTTATACTTTGACTAGTAAAAGCATGCACAAACAGAAATGCATTAATTTCAATAAATACTTTTGCTAGCATTTGTTCATATGAATCATATAACTTACAAATTTTAATTTAATAGAGACGCGTCTTTACAGTTTATATATAGGTAGTTAATTTCACGGGTACAAATCATGTAGATTATATTACTAAAATGAATAAAAACTGTACGAAGGAAATTTCTCTGTTAATTTATGTAACTGAAGTATTTATATTACATTATAATTATTTCTTTCTAAGTGTATTAAACGAAAATATAACCTAATCAAACCTAGGTTCTTATGTTTATTAAACAAAAACAACCAATTTTCTTAAAAACAATTCTTAAACTAACAAATAATGTGTTAAGTTTTCAGTTTTCATTTTTGTTCTTTAAATATGATTACATTTTAAAAAATCATACTTTTGACATTATGCTTTTACTAACGTGCTGTAGGAAATGTATACATTATCTGGTAAAGGAATGCATTTACTAGAAATAGTATACATACTTATATTCGATTCATACTTCTGCCAAAATCGTACGTAAATACATACATTGACTAGTAAGTGTATACATTTACTAAACTTCACGCTTTTACTGTGTGACATATACATGTGTTTATGTGTTTTCTAACGATATCGATCCTTCACCGCATGCACTCACACAGGGGCGTTCAGTCACTTCTATGGTAAGCTCTCCGAACACATGCACGCACTAGGTAATGTCATTTTTTCAATTCATTATACGTAAGTAGTCGGCGTAATGACCGGTGCGCGAGGAGCTTCATTCGAGGGAAAACATGGTTAACGAAATTGAGTTATAATTCGATTACTCGTGATTGATACTGAATTCAGCAGGGAAACTATACACAGGCCAACGTAACTGATTCACCTTTTTTGCATTTTTCAAATTCCAGCGTCAGACCACTTGATTGGTGCTTGACTTTCTAGATAAAATTTCTTTAATCATTTTTAAAATTATTTTCATTCGTTCAACAATTGAAACGATGTTTAAACTTTTAATCAGCTGTATGTAATGCTGTCAATGTGAAAAAGGTATAATTATGCAAGATCTAAATGGAACTACCGTTAAGAACTGTTGTAAATATTAAATTACTTCGGAATATTATGGAATCTGAATTTTTAACCACCGTTTAATTCACGATGGTTTACAAAATGTAGCAAAATGCGTTATTTAAAAATTACTAATATTTGATCTCCTTCATGTTACTATACAAATAATATTTAACACAGTTCTCTTTCAAAAAATGTCTTTCATTCAAAACGAAAACCAAAAGAAAAATTAATTTCTCTTAACATCGTTTCCATGTAATAGTTCAAATACTAAACCAACTAATCTGCAAAAATTCTTCCAAAAAAATTGATTACCACGTTTATAAAATACACTTTCTTCAAATTCGACATGTCAAAGAACCGAGCTTATTCGCGACATTTACAAGGGACGATTTGTTTTTCAATCAATTTTCGCACAGTCGTATGTTCCGAGCATCGAACAAAAATTTCACCTGGACCTCGTTTGTCCCGAACCTTTTACCTTTCGCTCGATCCCACGATGTTATTGGGGATCGGACGTTTCAATGGATCCACGGAATTCACGTGAATGGAGCTCCGCACGCGGCGGTGCACGCGTATATGCGTTAATGTCACACTTTTTACTCGTACCAGTTGGACCGCGAATGGCAGATTCATATTTTCGATCAAAACCGCGAATAAATTTCTGTTCGATCGCTTCTCTATGAATTAACGCTTACTATGACGCCGCGTGCACATATCGGCGCCGTTGATTTCTTTGCTTATTCTCGCACAAAAACTGGCCCGAGCAGCGTTTTCAAAAAGCTTTGGATGCTTTTTCCACTGGTTTTTTTCAATATATGATCGTTTGAAAAGTTCGTAGCGTTTCGAGCACAAGTGTCTTCGTTACCTTTCCTACTGGACGAAGGAAAGATCGTTTGAACAGGTTAGTTTGTTGCACGTGAAATGGCCAATTCTACTGATAAGAATATTTAACGTTACTTTTATGAATGAAAACTGTTAGAAATAGCTCCCTTTTTAACTGCAAAATTACACATTGTGTACTGTACTCGTTTCAAAGCACAACTACTTAACGTAGCAATGAAATCAGTTATGTTAAATAGGTACTAAAGTTATTTAAATTGAGGATTACTCTTAGTTAATCTAATTAATTAGACTTTACCTCAACTAGTCATTTCGATCGTTAGAATATTCTGTATCAGGGGAAGAAACTTCGACAACAAAGTCCATCTTAGAAGCAGATTAAAAAGTTCTTCAGTCAAAACCATCGAAGTTGTGCATCACTGGCACAATGATATTAATCGAAAAATGGAAAGAAATTTGTACACGAAAATAGTAAATAAGAAAATATAGAACTGTGCCCTTAAAAACGCTACGAAGTTTCCAAACAATTCGATACTTTATCGCGTCGAAATGTTCACGCTTGCTGCGCCTCTTTCTCTCTGTTAAACATTTCTCCAATATCGATGAAAATTGCACAATTAATTTACGAACAGAAAGATCCGCAATCGAACCGCCATTATTTCATGGACGTGTTCGAAGCTTAAGCTGGCTTATTGTTGTCAGTTACTGAAGTTCCGTTTTATTCGTGTGAAATTACTAGCGCATGATATCGAAGATAATTATTCGTCCTTCTAACCCTTTAACGCCCAGTGTTGCACCGGTGCAACGCTCATTTTAAAAGCTCGTCAAATTCTGTCGCCAGATAATATCTAACTTTTGTCAACAAGGATCCCCAGTTTCGTTTATTTCCAGTAAATCTTCGCGTTTTCAGTTGAGAAATTCAAGTATTCCCTCTAAAAATAAATAAAAAAAGAAAGCAAAAAATTAAACAAAAATGGGTCTCTTTAATGTCGATATTTTCAACTTCAAAATAACAAGATACAATATACACAGCAGTCTCATAATTTTAAAATAACGATTTCAGGGTCTGGGCGTTACAGGGTTAATGTGTATCACGATTCTATTTGTGTAAATCACGTTTCAACACAAAACATTGATATTTTAGATAGTCTATATTGATCCAAATGTACAGATATTTTGAGGATGGAGAATATATCGTGAGAATATTTATCTTTCTTTTTTTTTTCTTTATGATAGTACCATAATCGACCGTAGACGATTTCGCGATCGAATAAAAATTAACGTTCGTTTCGTGGAACGCGATCAGGAATCATTTCCGAAGGTTTTAAATGTCCTTTTGCAAAATTTCAGGCGTTGATTTAGACACTGGCTCGATCATCGGTATCGTCGTCGGAGCCCTGGTGCTACTTCTCCTCGTTTTCGTACTTATTTTCGCCCGTGCAACCGGTCGCTGGTGCTTCGCAGGTGAGTACTAGTTCATTTAATTATCGTTCACATTGATTGTCCGCGGCCCGAGCCGACGTAATTCCCTTTTTTTCCCCCTATTTGGCGATTCTTCGTGTACTTTTGTTGTTCAATTCTATATGTACCTACCTACATACGAGCAGTCGAGTGTACGAGCAACGACGACTTTAATAACAAACGAACGAGCGATGGATTGAATCATCGAAATTCTCTTTTTCAGCGTCCTTTCACGTTTTATGAACTGACAGGAAGAATTGACTGCCTCGACAGAGTATACATTACATTATTATTACGCGACGACGAAATCTTTTTTTTATACGTTCTTTGTTTTTCTTTGTATATCAGTCTGTATCGATGTATAAAAAGATCATTTAATCGTTAGTCGTTAGATGTACCGATTCATTTCTAAAAGGTGTACTCTGTAGCTGATTGTTCTCGCCAATTTAATTTACACTGCTTTACTTTTTATTTAATAGCGCAGGCCTGATGTCGGATAATTGTCTGTGCAGAGACGAATGCGTATACTCGTAGGAATTCGTAAACTGTATTATGCAATCGAAGCTACATATATCTTTTTTAACGTGTTATTATTCGAATGTGGATTTTCTGTGTTTTAGGAGTGTATACGATTGTCCAAGACTTAATATATGTACAGCCAAAAGTTTCGTAAAGCTTAGCAAAATTTTTATTTTATTTGCAATATTTTAGAAACGAATTTCTGTAAATTACTCCTTAAAAATTCATACGTCTGCATAAACAACCGCAGTCTAATTAATACGTTCTAATCGCGTTTTTAACCTGGAACGCTGCAACTATAAAAAGGGAATGCTGTGACCCAAAAATTCCTAACTAGATCCTCAACAATTAAAACAAAACACAGTTTTTAATTCATTCTGGTGATTATTCAAAAGTATCCACGTTGAAATATTGGTTTATAAAATCGTCTACGATAAATCGAAGAAAACAGCGAAAAAATGTTCCATCAGGAAGAAATGTTACAAAAAAAGAAATACTTATACACGTGCGTGTGATGATTAAATGTCCTAGAGAGCCAAACGATTTCCCGCAGCTGTAACCAACACCTTAATATTTAACCCTTTGCACTCGATGGGATAACTGAGAGACACTGTATTACATTGTTATACTGACACTCACAGCAACTCGAGCGACTAGTGGGGAATCGGCAGTAATAATGGCCACGGTTATCTTTTATTTTTGCATTGTAGACGCGTAATTCTGTCGTGCTGGTGCATCTGATAATAATACGTTGCATTTCTGTATGTTATAATACTTGAACGTTAATTTTTATTTGATACCAAGTGGTAAAATTTGTGGCAGCGAAGATTGGTTTGATTTTACAATTTTTGGACATAATACTGATCACCAAAGTGCGAATGTTTATGCATTTATGGCATCTCCCAATCCGCAAGTCGTAGGAATAAAATGATTTTTCTGAAGTTTGTTACCGTTTATACATTATGATTAATATATTAACATCCTTAGCACAGACAGTAAAATTCTGTTGACATTTCATTTTCGTATGACAGTATCGAAAATTCTGAATTTGCATAAACATCCGTAGTCCAGCAATCGTATTATAGAGGTAGCAAATATAATACGTACAGATAAAAGTAATAAAAAGAACGATTCAATGATTGGTATAAGAAGAAAGAAAATTGGAATATTAAAAAGCAATAGTGAAAGAAATTAAGCATCAAGTCCAACAAAAATTAGAAACCTTGAAATTCAAATATTATATTTTACATAATGTAAAATATACGAAATATTGAAATAAAAATATTTCTATTCATTTCTTTATACGTTTATTTCAAAGAAATTTCGTCGAGTTTCTAGTTCCATATTGGGAAAAAACTTCGAGTTGCTTTGTCCCCTTACAGCTTTGAGTGCAAAGGGTTGAATGCCTATTTATTTGATATTTATATATTTATGTATGTATACAAATGTCTTGTGTGTTGTGCTGCTACCGATAGGACAGCATGCAAGTCGGGCCAAGTAAAGAGTAAGGAGAAACATCAACAATTACCTTGCGATTCCGTACTCTAGGCATGACACTGTCCAGGGGTAAGTCACCTCAGGCAGCAAAACAACCACCAAACTTTCCCCCTTTTCTGCAAAAGTACTACTGCTCGTTCCTCGTTCATCATCAGCTCGTCTCCGCTCGCCACCCCCTTTTTTCTGTTTCGTTTTTTTTTGTTTTTGCCCAGCAACCATTTTTATCAGTCAACCATGCCCCCGCGTTCTCTCGTCTCGGTTCATCGACGGGAAACACTTAATCACTGCACAGAACCCCGTCTGTGTTCCTTCGACATTAACAAAAAATAATCAAGACAATTTCTTTAGTCCCTTTTAAGGATTCTGTTCCGATCAGACATGGTATTATTGTGTTAGATCCGATTATTCGATTACTACTACTCGGATCTTCACTTATTATCGAGTAATAAGTACTCGATTTATATAGCGAAGAAGGGAAATACATAATTGTAAACTTCTAAAGAAACTTGGATCATCGGTGACTCTCACGACGGTGAAATGAGATTTTTGCATGGGTACCTTTGTGTAACTTTCATGGCAGCTAGCATCGGATTAATAGTAAATAATTCGATGTGCAGAACAAGAAACGGAAAGAAAAAGTCTGTGTTCAAATTAATTTATCCAGTACTGTAAATCGTGATAAAATATTAATGTTAAATTAATACGCGGATTTCGTTAATAAACAAGTAGAATTCAAAATCGAGCTTCGATCGGACCACGTGAGTGGAAGATAAATTGAATCGTGTGAAAGGTCTGTGTAGGCGAAACTGGATCGTTAAATATAAAGTAATCATCTAATTCGGCGATAAAACAGAATCTCTCCGAACGGTAAACATTTGCTTTTCCGTTTGAAAACGAACGATAAAACCCAATCGCTGCTGTTTAAAGTTACTCCCCGTTCGAGCCCGTGGGAAAATAAAATCGATTTAAATATATGTATATGTACCACTGTTCCATTCCGAGTCCTGGATAAATTCCGGTGGCGATCGATTTCTGTGAATCCACCGCCACCCCCGTTCATTTTTTAATTTCATTCGGCCCGGTGCCGCGTCGCCAATGGAGAAACACGAGAGAAAAAGGTACAAATTTACCGACATGCAGAAAAGAGAGAGAGAAAAAAGCATGGCGTGGGTTCGATTATTCGCGCCAGAAGTCTACTATATAATCGAGAGGCGCGAGACGAATGAACAAATCAAAATTTCATTGTTCGGAACGATCCGTTTATCGGTTTACGGTAGAATCAATGTACACTGCTAACGAACACGTTTTCTTTTTTTTTTTTTTGTGAAATCGACTAGCTTGTGGTTGACAACGTAACAATATTCTCTTTTTTTTAATTCTTGATTGCCATTTTTTTTTGTTTACCATTTCCATGTATAAAGCACCTATTTAGGTTGAACAGGATAATGATATAAAAATCCTATAAAGATACGATAGAAGATAGACACGAAGTGGTATTGAATACCCTTATAAAAATAGATAATATGTAAAACAGAGAAGATAGTGTGTAAGAACTCAAAAAGTCTCAGGGTGTACATACAACTTCAAATTCGTAAATAGTATTAAGTTTCAAAATCAAAACACAGAACCAGATTTAACAGAAAAAATACTTTATCAGAGTCCTTATTTTATTACGTTCTGTGTATTCGAAGCAGAAAAAGCAACTACCTATTCCAAAATTTTCTCATAAACACCATATCTAATAAATAATTTATTCAGATATACCGTGTATTCAATGCTGTTTCGAATTTTTCTCCACACAATAACTCGAAATCACCGAACTGTCTTGAAAATTAGCTTCAAAATCTGTCAACGACTATAGGTATATACATCCACACGTCGAACATCCGTGCATGCACGTTGCGCTTAAGAGCTCCCCGCCGCATGTACTAATATATAGTACCTATTTGATATTGCATTCACCATTATTCATGCAGTGTTTTTACAAACATAGTTCCTTGCGGCCTACTACACGCGCATAACTAATTTTCCAAGCGGGGAGGAAAAGTTCACCGCGGCGAGCGAACAAGCTCGCAGAAATCCGGTGAAAAATCATCCTATGGGATATCGGTGGCGTCCGCTGTTAACAAACTACGATATACACACCGGAAAAACAGAGCACAACTTCTTCAGAAACCGCGAAATTAATGTATTAGGCTGCTGGAAAATTCTAAGACCATTCGAATCTTACAAAATTACCATATTTGTACTATTAGCGAACATACAGTGACTACGAAAAATATTTTTCGACTTTCATGTTGTTAAAGTAATTTTTTCGATTCTTAGATTATGTTACAAAAATTTTTATGTTTATGCACTGCCTTGACTAACGTTTGACTTTCAAATAATTCAAATTCTGTTCGCTGCAATTTTTTATCCATCTGCATATATTGACCTAACAAACCAATGTTTGTTTACGACATTCCTGAAAATTCCCATGATTCGTCTAAATTTGGAGAGCCCACGTGGCAATTGAACAGAATTGGGCAACAGAAAACAAACTACATGAAAAATTTCGAACAGCAACTACAAGACAAAAAAGTTATCACATAATTCGACCAAGAAATATGAAAACTTCTAATCATAAAATGATAGAATGTCATCCTAAATAATTGTGCCCATGTTTGTGAGTAGAAAGCGTTCCCTTTAGCGACAAGCAACGATAAACAATCGGCGAAGGCAAGTGTGGTGGCATTTGTTCGAATCGAAACAATGGAAACCGTACTATCTATGTCGAAATTAATTTCCTTTATTTCTGTTTGCTTCTCAGTCTGTTTCTCTATTTTAAAAGAAAGAACAAAAAATGGTCTGTATCCCCCCCCAAGTATTAGATCGTTCAAGCATGTTTATATAATCATCCCCCCTCGCACCCAAGGCCCTCGATCTTCATTCTCTTCGTTTCCTCATGGACACGATCTCAATATTGTTTAGACGACAATCAGCTAATT